TATCTCTTTGGTTTTGAGACTTTAGTCTTTGCAACTTCAGGGATCTTATCTATGCACAATCAGCTTGTAACACTCCAAAGAGAAAGGAAAACTTGAAATCGCATCATATGACCCCTTTAAATATTTTTATATAATTATATATAAATATAAATGTATTTTTTTATATTAATTTTATGCTGTTACTTTTTTATTTTATATTACACCTGACATGGATTCGTCTGAAAAATGTCTGCGTCCAAAATACTCAAGTCCAAGTCCACCTGAGTCCACCCGAGTCCGTCCAAGTCCAAGTTCATTAACAATTGCAGTCCGAGTCCAAGTACCCCAACTCTGTTAGAAGCCTTAAGAAACCAACCCCAAACTATAAATGAAGTTACTATAAATTAAACTCAAATACAGTGTGGTCTATACTTTTCATGAATGCACATGTTGAGCACTGCTCTGCAAGTTGCTAGTTCAGATTTGTATATTTGTATATATATATATATATATATATATTTTTTTTTTTACATTTTAAAATTTAATTTATTCCTGTAATCAAACTGAATTTTCAGCATCATTACTCGCATGATCCTTCAGAAATCATTCTAATTTACCATACAACTGTATGGAGCATAATAATAATCATACATTCTAAAGAAAATGGAAATATATCACCACAGTCACGAAGTCTGTATGATTAAAACTATTACGGCAAATGTTTTACTTAAAGTGGTCATATGATGCGATTTCAAGTTTTGCTTTCTCTTTGGAGTGTTACAAGCTGATTGTGCATAGATAAGATCCCTGAAGTTGCAAAGACTAAAGTCTCAAAACCAAAGAGATATTCTTTATCAAAGTTAAGACTCTGCCACGCCCCCCTAAAACGGCTCGTTCTAACACGCCCCCACATGTCTACATCACTATGTGGGAAGATTTGCATAACGCTGCCCAAATGTCCACGCAAAGAAAGAAGGCGTAACTTTGATTCTCGCTGTAGTATTGTTGACGCTGCATGTCATGTCGTGAAGACGCTGTGTGTTTCGTTGTGAAAGCGAAACTACTTTGTTTGGTCTTCCAAAAGAGGACACGACTAGAAATCAGTGGTTAAGTTCACAGTTCAACCCAAATATTCAGATGTGTGCAGCGCATTTTACGGAGGACTGTTTCCTGATCCTGGGAAAGTAGCTTACAATGCCGTCTACACACAAAGGCTGTTTCTATAAAGTGGGGCAGTTCCAAATTTGCAATAACAGTCTGGCGCTTCTGACTAACAATCTGTACGTTTTCATATTAAAAGAATTTGCCACTGATGATTCAAACGTGAGTTTGGGCAGTGTAGAGTAGCGCTTGTTGTTTGTCATTTCTCCGATCACAAATGCAGACATGGTTTTGTTTGCGATGCAACGCGTAAAAAGACAGTAGAAGTCATTATAAGCCGTAATTATGACCCCACTGGATGCAACAAATGCCTCATTTATAATGGGTTTTCATTTTTTTGTCTCGTCGCTCCGGCCGGACAGGGCATCATCACAGTATGGTGAGGGGCATAACATTTCCGTCTCACGCTTGAGGTATTCGGCCAATCACAACACACTGGATAGCTGGCCAATCACAGCACAGCACACTTTTCAGAACGATGAGCTTTGTAAAAATCGACGCGTTTCAGAAAGGCGGGGCATAGAGGAGAAACAATAATGTACAGTATGTGGAAAATAATGTGTTTTTTAACCTTAAACCACATAAACACATTTCATTACACCAAATACACAACATAATGTTCTTTTTAGCAGCATCATATGACCCCTTTAATCTTTATTACATGACAGCTGCTAGTTACTTCCCACATACTGCTGTTTTCCAGTGTTTTTGATTATTGAGCAAAGCAATGTCTGAAATGACATGTGACAATCCGTCTTGTGTGCAGCAGTAGCTCTACTTCACTAAATGTATTTCCATTATTTGAATATGGCTACAGACACGCCCGACACAGATTGAGAAGTCACCAGTTTGGCTTCCCTGTGAAGTTCAAAAATAACATGTGGGCAGTTGACAAGACAACAAGGCCTCTACGATCTACATACTGCAGGGATGTCTGGTTTGAAATGAATAGGGTGATGTGTACTTCAGGTTATAAATCAAGCACATCTGAACAACCATCTTTTATCCTGTAATTTATCAACTAAAAACTCACTTGGATCCTGTTTCATGTTTGCTGGCAGTAATTTCAGCTGAGTTTTTCTGAATCTGTGCTGTGAATAAGAATTTTATTTTGAAAAATTATCATTTGCCTTTTTCTGAAAAAACTGAATGGGGAAAAATACTTCTGGGAGCTATGAAGTAGTTCAAGGTCTGTTGACCATATTTCTGTTCCACATCTCTTTGTCAGAATATTTTAGTTGAATACTCACATGCACCAATATAAGCTATGTGCAGTGTATCAGTTGACCGGATATTAAAGGAATAGTTCACCCAATAGTTTACTCAATAGTAGTGTTTGGTTTAATTGATTATTAATATGATTTAATTTATGCAGCTGTTTTGTGAGCTTTATAGATCCAGGGTTGATTTTCATCAGTGTTTGTGTTGTTTTCAGATTCTTCTCGTTCACAAGCTGGATGGTCATTATAACTCCAGCTACGTCCCGGTGTTTGTTCCCCTCTGGGTTTCTTTGGTGACTCTAATGGTGACGACGTTTGGCCAGAAAGCAGGCAATCACTGTACGTGACACGTGTTACTTACACTGCTGTTCAAAAGTTTGGGATCAGTAAGATTTTGAATGTTTTAAAGAAGTTTCTTATGCTTAACAAGGCTGCATTTATTTGATCAAGAATACAGAAAAACACTAAAATTGTGAAATATTATTACAATTTCAAATAATGTTTTTCTATTTTAATATACTTTAAAATGTAATTTATTTTACAGTTCAACCCAAATATTCAGATGTGTGCAGCACATTTTATGAAGGATGTGTCCTGATCCTGGGAGAGTAGACTACAATGCTGTCTGTTCTGACTCACAGACTGTAAGTACGTTTTCATATTTAAAGGATTTGCCACTGACGATTCAAACGTGAGTTTGGGCAGCGTAGAGTAGCGCTTGTTGATTGTCATTTCTCCGACCACAAATGCAGACACACTGTAAAAAAAATTCTGTCGTTTTTACAAAATAATTTTGGCAGCTGTGGTTGCCAGAATAATTTAGTAAAAAATACAGAAAAACTGTAAACACATTTACGGCCAAAAATACAGTATAAAACTGTAATTTAAAAACAAGCATCATGGTAACACACATGATACTTAAATAATGCATTAAACTTTCATTAAACAACAGAAGATGTAACACACAGCCCAAATATACATAACTAATAACAAAAACTATTAAAAAGAACATGATTATTTAAACAAAATACTTTCAAATGTGGAGTGCCATGCAGGGAATTCTGGGAATACCAGTTTACAGTTTTTGACTGTAAATTATACATTGATTTGCTATTTTTACTTCTAAAAACTGTAAAATTAACAGCATTTTACTGTAAAATTACATGATTACATTAATTATTGATTTTACATAGATATTTTACAGTTTTTCCCTGTAAATAGTACGGGAACTTACTGTTAACCTATTAACAGTTTTTTTCCGTAGCGTTTTTACAACATTTTACAGTTAAAATTACACTTATTTTTTACAGTGCATGGTTTTGTTTGCGATGCAACGTGTAAAAAGACAGTTTAAGTCATTATAATCCGTAATTATGTCCCCACTGGATGCAACAAATGCCTCGTTTATAATGGGTTTTAATGTTTTTGTCTCGTCGCTCTGGCCGGGACACGGCATCACAGTATGGTGAGGGGCGTAACATTTCCGTCACACGCTTGAGGTATTTGGCCAATCACAACGCACTGGATAGCTGGCCAATCACAGCACACCTCGCTTTTTCAGACCGATGAACTTTGTAAAAATCGATGCGTTTCAGAAAGGCGGGGCATAGAGGAGAAACAATAATGTACAGTATGTGGAAAATAATGTGTTTTTTGAACCTTAAACCGCATAAACACATTTCATTACACCAAATACACAAAATAATGTTCTTTTTAGCAACATCATATGACCCCTTTAAATTGTCCAAATGAAATCAAAAATTAAGTTTTGATATATTTACGGTTGAAAATGTACAAAATATCTTCATGGAACATGATCTTTACTTAATATTCTAATGATTTTTGGCATAAAAGAACAGTCAAAAATTGTGACCCATACAGTGTATTGTTGGCTATTGCTACAAATATCCCGGTGCTACTTACGACTGGTTTTGTGCTCCAGGGTCACAAATTGCAATGCTAGATTATGAAAAAAGTAAATTTCTCCAAGTTAAGTAATACAAAACAGACATTGATTTTGTTTTTAATATTAATATGCAGTTCACACTACACGGTTTACTGGACATTTGAATTTGAGCTCATGATATCTAATGTCATTCTGATTTATAAAAATGTGACAGTTTCTACCGTAGTTACTGCTACATGGGAAATATTAAAATGATTGGTGACTCATATTTAGTAGCATTATGTTTTTATATTAATTAGAGCATCATTATATGTTTCAGAAATTAGAAACACCAATGAGCAACATGCATCTGATATCTAATTATTTCCTTGAGCTGTTTTTCAGTATGTTGCATTAAGGAGCATATTAATGGATTCTAAGTGTATTTATTTGTGTATATGACTGAATGGATGGCTTAGTCACTATGAGCCAATTTGTGGTCCGGATCAGTCTATATTTGGATATCTCTATGCTCCTGGTCTAATGATGGAGCAGATATTTGTGTATAAGGTGGCATCTGCTCCCTAAAGGTGTGCTAGTGCTCACTCTTGTTCCCATCTCTCTTTATAAAGCATAATGAGTCTGCTTTTGCTGCTCGTGATCTAGGACAGTGATGTAATCCTTGTGTTTTAAGCTGTTTTGTGTGACAGCCTTCCTTGCAGCACAGGAAGTGTGAATGTGGTTCCGTTTTGTGGCCGCTTTCTCAACTTCACACTCGGTAGACGCTTGGAGTCAAGCCGTGTTTGGTTGGCGGCGCATTAGAACTTAAGCTCTGTTCCTTTTTTGATAGCAGACGGAGGTCAGAAATGTCACTGATCCAGAACACCACAACTAAGCATGTGCTCCTTCCTGGAATAACACACACACACACACACACACACACACGTACGTTGACTTCTCTGCTATGACACCTGGGGGGTATTGTTAATCATTAAACACCCGAGTCAGGTACAGTGAAAGTCTGAAGGAACACGATGACAGCTTGTTGTGTCATGTAGCTCGTACCCATGTGCACTTGGTATGTTTTCCCAAATGCATTTCCGCAGCCCCTGAGGTGTACCTCTTTGTTGCCAGTTCATGTGTTTGTATAGTGGAGGAAATGCATCCAGCTGATAAATCTTGTGGGGTACGTTCACACCCTCATTGCGAGCTTGTTAACATGCAGATAGCCTGGTCATTAACGTACCGGTCTGTGCACAGCGGTTTATCAGAAGGACGCAGACGGTGGAGCAGGGTATGGCTCATCACTGCTGCTTCACTGGATCTAAACCGCATTGGAGATGCCCAAAGACCAGTCTAATTGGATGTGAAATCTAACTATACAAGCCACGTTCGGCGTTTAAATAAATGATTTTACCACAAAACCTGTCACTGCACATTATCTGAATTTGCAATTCAAGCAAAAAAGTATCATGGTATTCTTAGAATTTTGGTAGACTGCAATTATGGATGGTTGGGTTAGGGTTAGGTGAATTTTGGTGAATTCTTTTAAACGGTTAACCAGTTAAAAAGGTTAACCGACAATTATCAAGCATGTCATAAATGCAGTATTTGGGGTGAGAGAGATGAGCAAAAGCCATATTTTCATATTCTTTAATATTTGGTTGCAGACGATATCACAATGTGCATGTTTTTGGAAAACATAATAAAAAATTAAAAAAACTACAAAAAAAAATATAGGTCCTTAAGTCAGTTTCCAAATCAATGAGTGTCAATGTTGCAGAGTTAGTCATTATTCAGCTCAAGTTTTGTTCTCATCTGATAGCATCAGTGCAGTTGAATCGACAATATTACTAAATATTAATAGTCTTTTAAGCCCAAATTGCAAAGAAATCAGCTTTATAAACTAGTCAGTTTTAAAAAGGTGCGTTAAGTGGTAATGCCTCAATGGCATTAGATGCTGCGCTGCCGTCTATAGATGTGGATCTGCATGATTATCTTTGAGTTTTTTGTAAATTACACTGATGCTAGTGAGATTAAGAGAGTAGTCTACGCAATAATTAATTATCTTACCTGTCCAAAAACGTTTTGTTGGGCGTCCATTCTCATGATTTTCTCCATCATCAAATATTTATACCTTGTGTTGGACACGCATGTTTGCACTCGTTTAAAAAAAAAAAATTTTTTACTTATTGCTACAGAGCATTTCTTCTTGTCTCCACTAGTAAAGCATGATAGTAAGTGTATCCAATGACTTATTTTTACTCCTTGCATTTACAAACAACACTATGCTACTAGAATATATACAAAGACAGCTACCAGTGAGCGTGAGGATTCACTCCGATGTTTAGTGAAACACCACAGGTCATGTCATTTCAACAGTGAAATACATTGCACCATGATTGGCCCTTGTGTGTCAATTTAAACAAGTTAGAGGACAATGTCAAAAAGTCAGAACGCCGATTAGGAAAAACATTCATTCTGATGCATTATTATTTTTGTGCAGTGTCAGATTATTTTAAACTACCTTACACACACACACACACACATATATATATTTCTCAGCACTCACATACAGAACACACTCTTGATATCCATACCAATAATTCCATAATTTCAATTCAGTTGGCCTTTTTTCAGCAGAAGCACAAAACAGGAAAAAATGAGTATTTGCTCCATGTGTACTATCAGGACGAAAATAGTAAAACATTTTTAAAAATTGTCAGTTTTGAAGGCTCACCAACAGAATAAAAGGCTATTAACAAAGAATGCATGATTCAATGGTTAAATAGCACTGGTGTTAAATAATTTAAATATTTTAATGGGTGTCCGTGGAAACTTTTTTTCCAAAAGCTTCTGAGTGCAATTTTTTTGTGCCCAGTGTAAAATAGATTTATGAAAGGAATTGATGGTAAAATATTTACATTCCAATAAAAATACACTTTTTTTGACTAAATGTATGCTGTTTGCATTAACACAGCCAAAATCAGAAAACTAAAAGACAAAAATGTCCATGAGGATGCACAAGGGTTAAAACATTTTTATAGGAAACTTAAGAGAAACTATATAGGCCTATCGTTATTCAATATAAATGCCTGGATAATCCAGTAAATACAGTAAAACAGACATAGGTGAAATTATTGCAGTTCAGTAAGGGTGCTTTCACACCTGGCCCGTTGTTTCGAAACCTTGTGTACTTCAAAATGAACCTGTGAATGTCTGTGGGTGAGCACGTCTTCGCCATTCAAAATAAAATAAAAAAAAGCCTGCAAAGCTGTTGTCGTTCCATCCTGACGGATGACAGTCGTGACAGCTAGTGGAATCCCGGAAAATAAACCGTGAAACGTTGACCAATGAGAGAACGGTTTACTCGCGCGTGACTTGTATTAACAAATTTGGTCTGTTTAGAAACATTGCCGTGTGAAAGCGAACCGCACCAAGAATAAAAAGCAACGTTGTAATAATTGTAATCCCTGTTTCGGAACAAAGCAATCGATCTACAGGTGTGAAAGCACCAGAAGTGAGCTAGAATCTCCAATCTTAATGCAGTCAAGGACTTGTCAGACCGATTTAAACCGTTAAACACTGGTAATAACATTTTCCAGGTTTCTCACAATGCTCCGATGGCAAGCATGTTTACACTGCCTGAAATTTGCTCCCTTTTCCATATATTGTGAATATGGATTTCACTATATTGGATGAGTCACCAACTTCAGACAGATTGATGGTTTATCAAGTGTTGGGAAGGGAAGTGTTTGAAAACAGCCGCCTGTCAGTAGTTTCATTATCAAATTTATGTTACATTCCAAATTTTTATTGCCTTTGTGGAGCATTTAGAAGAAAAAACTGAAATACCGATGAGGGTCAAGCGAAGTGCATGTTTCTCACCGCGCAAATCCTGTTCAATGAAGCCTGTGATTGCCATTGTATTTTACTTCAACCATAAAACATTATGCATGTTTATATACTCATTCAACTGTGTGTGTGTGTAATTGACAGCAAGCAGGATATGTCTTTCTAGTGCATAAAGGTGCCCTTGAACATATGCACATGCGTCGGACAATCTATCCCTCCCCAACTCCCGTAAATAACCTTGTTTTGATTCCATGCAGACTTTTCATGTGGACATTAAAGCTAATAAATAGACTAAACGCAACAAAACTCCGTATTGGATGCGGTGAAATAACTGTATCTGCAATAGGTAACTGATACCAGTTAAACAGCTGCATATATTGATTTGTAGAGCTCCCCTCCCAAAGGTTTCTTGGAATATTATTGATTAACCCAATGTGGCATTGGCATTCTCTCTGATATAAACACTTACGAACTACTTGTTTTTGATCTTCATTGTTCCTTGTTGAGCCTTTTGTAAAACTGAAGGAAAATAATCAAGCAACTGTATATGTTTTTGGTGCAGTGAAACGCATGGTTTATAAAGAAAGGGAGAGGTCCTTTAGTGTTGAATATCAGAGATTTTATGTTAATAGTCTTATTTTATACTATAAACTTGCATTCCAAATATGTGATTACAGCAAATTTACCTGAGATATGTAGTTAACCAGTTGACTACCTAATCTAGTCCACTCAAACTAACTCTGTAACTTTTGTATTCCAGAACAGCCGAACAGACCCTGAGGAGTTGTTCACTAAACTAGAGCGTATCGGGAAGGGCTCGTTCGGCGAGGTGTTCAAAGGCATCGATCGCCGCACTCAGAACGTAGTGGCTATCAAGACCATCGATCTTGAGGAGGCAGAAGATGAAATCGAAGACATCCAACAGGAGATCACCGTACTCAGCCAGTGTGATAGTCCTCATGTCACCAAATACTATGGCTCTTACTTAAAGGTATGGCTTGACTTTGACTTTTTCCACACATTAGCTGTGCTAGTAGTGTTGTCACAATAACAGTAAAATTCCTCGGTTCTTGGTATAGCAAAAACTATTGGAACTCTATCTGAGACCAATTAAAAAAAAAAAAAAGAATTAAATGTTAATTATTAATGATAATAATAAGCAAGTAATACATTAAAACAGCATGTAGCCTTCGAATGTTTTTTAAAGTAAATATTGCTGTAAAAAGTCAAGTTTTTGTCTCATCCGTTGCTATGATGATCACTATGTCAGTCTTTGCCGTTTTAGATTCAATCTAATATTTAAATACGGGTGTCACTCCTGAAACTATGCTGCGTGCAGCATTAAAAAATGACAAATTTCATTCAAATTGTGAATGGGTTGTATACAGCTCCCTTCATAATCAATTCAGTTCAGCGCAAGTTTACAGAGTTCTGCACTCTTGCAAAAACTTGGATATAGATACAGTCTTATTGTATCACGACAACTCGCCAAAATAAAAGTTCAGTTGAATTTTTTTTTTTTAATGACATAATACTACAATGTTTTAATCTATATAGTAAGCCTCTATTACAGCAAGTTGATAAATAATAGAAATGCAATGTTTTGTTGTAAATTGTTTTCATTCACTTTAAAAGATTGAATGGTTATAGTTTTATGAATTCATTTGATAACCAATAGTTTTGATATTACATTTGTATGAAATCGTTAATCCAGAAAAAAATTGACATACAGAAAAATTAAAATGGACAACACAGAATTTGGGGAAAAAAACTTTTCAAAGGCCCCTCTTATTGATAATTTTTTTAAATGAATTATTACATTTTGCAAATGTTTTATGAAATGAATTGGCTAGACATACTTTTTAATGATTACAATTTAATTAAACCATTAGAATGGAATCGAGAATGGAATTCAGCACAGAAAAGCCCTTGTACTACTTGTACGTTGCACATTCTTTATCATCGGATAGGAATTAATTCAAGGGTTAAATAGGTTAGGTTTTGATTTTGCCTCTGAAAAAAATTTATTAGTTTAACAAAATTAGTAAAATACTATATTTTGAATTTGTTGATGGTACCATTCTATTAAAATACTTTGACAGTAAGTAATAAAAACAAAAAGCATTAAATATTAATATCATTTTCCTTAATATTTTTAATTGAAAAGAAAAAAATGTATATTCTTCAGTATGTGTAGTACACAAAGCATTCACACACATACGCACACAACATGCGGACTTCATTCAAATAGCAGTCTTTTTGCGCTTTAATATTCACAGACACTAGTCCATATCACCATTAAAGGATAAGCTCTTTGCCCAGATGTCGCACCAGAACGGTTTTCGGAACCAAAATTTAAGAATTACGCACGGTTCTAGTATTGTTCTAGATAAGCACCGGTTCTCTGTTCCCAGCCTCAGGTTTTTTGAGGCATGAGTAGCACAATATTATCATATCACTCTAGTGCTGTGCATTGTTTGTAACACTAGTGCGTGCACAGTACGCATGGTTGCCTTTGGATTAAAATAAATACAAAAGAGGGCTGAGGATATATTTTAATGGGGAGTTCGAAAGCTGTTTGTAAAGATTTGATGCCATTGGTGACTCATGGCCAAACCCTTTGTGCTATGTCACAATACCTGTATTTCTGGAAGGCTGCCAGACAGAACGTGTGCTTTTTGTCTGGCTGCTTTGTGTGTCTGTGTGCATCGATGGCCAGTGTTTGTTTCCAACAAATGATGACAAGTCTGCATCCACGGTTAAGTATCAAGTTAAAAAAAGAACAGGGGGCTTGTGTATGAAATGGGCAGATTATAACTAAAAGTGTGCATAATGGACAAAGTAGATTTTGCATACAGTTTTCAGATTGATAAAACCACATGTGCATTAAAACCTGCACAATATTCCCTTTATAATTTTTTTAAGTAAAAAATTGTGCATACATGCACAAGACTTTTCCCCCATCTTGTTTCCTCCCCAAAATAACCATAGGCTATATGGTGCCTGCAATGCCTAGTTTCACTATGCATTACCTTATATGCATATAATTTCCATATGCATATTCCCATCCATGTGATACTACCATATTAACAGAACAAGACACTAGGAGAATATGAATTAACGAGCGCCCTAGTGTGAGTCATTATACTGTCTATGTTGCTAAAACATCTTTATATCAGTATTGAAAGACTTGCTTTTTTTTTTATTAAAAAATTATTATTTTTTTTTATATAAATGTATCCCATTATGTGCGAGGAAATTGGTGTACACATTTAAATGCAAATTTTGTGGTGATCAGATTTTTTTTGACCTATGTAATAAATAAAGTTGTTACAACACCAGCATTTTACATACCAGTGAATTTTCACATTTCCAATTTCAATACCACATATTAAAATATAAAATATGAACTAAAATAAAGTTTAAAAATTGTTGAAAACAAGTAAATAGTCAGTAATAAAATAAGAACAGAAAAACTAATGTTACTACAATAGCACAAACAAATACAACAGAACAAAGATAGAAATGAAATAAACAGTGTTTAAAGTTTTTAGGTAGGTCTAATGGTAGTATTCAGGATAGAAATACTTCAGAAGTTGAATAAAGTCACCAAATGTAAAATAACAATGCATTGTTTTCATCATGTAACATCCATATTCTTTATTAGAGATGAAAGTTTCAGATCACAGTTATAGTGACAAATTATTACCGTTATAGTATTATTAAATACTGGTGGTGCTGTTAATAAATGAACTGTTAATATTTAAGATAGCATCATGTGACCATAAGAGGTAAACCCTATGAACACAACCTTAGTTAAGCAAAGCAAAGTGCATTTTTATCCTTTCAAGGATTCGATGGATCAGTGAAACAGAGGAGTATGTACATCATGGTGATAATGAGAAGATTTTAATTAAAACATACTGTTGATGACAATATAATGAGAAAAATAACACTGCTAGATTATCAATCATGCATCATCAGTGTTTTTGAAAAAGAAGAATCTTCAAGGACTGTGATTGTTTCAGATGATCAACTCGGTAAACGAAGGCACTATTGGGTTAATTAGCACTAATTAACCTGCATCCTCTATTAAATTAAACAGATAGGCTACATACATGCACAACAGAAATATATTACAACGTTTTTCTATCTACACAAAATGCCGTGAATGCACAAGTGAACTTGAACTAAATGATGTGCTAGTCAGAATGTGTAACTCCTGTTATGAATGCACTCTTTCCGTAACAATGCGCTAAAACACAGGCAACTAAACACAAAGAATTCACAACATTGTATTACAGTAGTGTTCTCATGATAGTGTTATGTATATGACAGCTTGGCGCACTGTACATCTTTCGTATCAAGTTCTTCCAGACATTGCTGCATGCTTTTTTTAGCCATGAAGAGTAACTTAGTTTATACATACTGTTGCCCGTAATATGATGAAAAAAGTCACTGCTGGATTATTAATAATGTATCGGTGTTTTTGAAAAGGAACATTTAAATGGAATGTTATTGTTTCAGATAATCCAATTATAGTCAATAATGTTGGGCATTGCCTGTAATTGAATTGCTTTTGTAGTGAGTTAATTAACTCAACCAGACCGCATCCTATATGAGATTAATCCAATACACACACAACAAAAACACAGTATTCTATTCTATTACATTCTATACCCATTCTATTACAATAGTGTTCTCAATATATAACGTGACGTATGGGGAATATTACTGCTGCACATGCATTTTGCACTTGACCATATTTACTCAAACACAATTTTAATAATTAAAACATGGAACGATAATACTAACCATCTGGAATTTTACTGTGGAACTGTGATGAAAATTTTCATAATTTACTCACCTTAATATCATTCCAAAAAGATACAAAAGTTATCTGAAGGGGATGGTACAACAGAAGTTTTATACATATTATGAAAGTCAGTTTAACCCAGTACATTAATGCCCCAAAAATTGCATAAAGGCTGAGTAAAAATCCTTATAACTCAAAACAGGTGTATTTGAAGTTTTCTGAATGCACTTTCAAAGGAAATATTGTCAAATATCAACAATATACTGTACATGCAAGAACCAGTGAGATTAGTCAGTGTTTCAGGCTTTGCTCACAATTTGGGTCACAATTGACTTTCATAATATGAACAAAAACAACTGAGAGATTCTTCAGATATTTTCTTTTGTCTTTCACAGGAGAAAGCAAGCCATAGAAGTTTAGGATTATATGAGGGTGAAAGTTTTCATTCTGGAGTGAACCTGTTCATCTTGAAATATTTTAAGGCTACATGCTGTTGTTTTAAGATGTTTGTATTTCTAATATTTAAGTAAGGCTGCTGCTAATAATTATTCTGATAGGTGGATTATTTCTTAGTTTAATTAATTGAAAAAAAAGCTACCAAAAAGCAAAAAAATACCATATCTTGGCCAGTGGTCTCATCCAAATTGAAGGCTGAATAAAAATAAAACAAAGCAACAGCGTAAATATAGGGTATGCTATACATTGTGCACGAGAAAGCTTTTAAATATAAACATACATTATAATTTCAACAGCAACAACTTTTGGTCTACCGTCTGAAAGCAGAAAGACAAGTTAATAAAAAAATAAGGAAAAACAAAAGCTGTCAACTAATAATAGATTGATTGCCAGTGATCTCACATTCACTCCTCTGACATATGTCATAATCCCATTATAGTTACTTCTCTCATAAAATGTGATGATATATTCATCAGATATCATGCTTGCCAGTGTTTCCTGTACCAACAACAAAAGTCAGACAAAAAGATTGCATTACGAAACTCACTTTTGAGTTGACTCACTCAGTGAATCAGAGCTATTACACAGTTGGTCATAATTGACATTTTTCAGCGCTTTCCTACCTCAGTTCATATCTCAATGGCTTGTTTTTCCTTTAGGGTAGTAAACTATGGATCATAATGGAATATCTGGGAGGAGGTTCGGCTCTGGACCTGGTAAGTGCTTTGACTTTATCTGCGAGCGATCATGAGCTCTACACCCTCAACCTGTTTTGTGTGTGTGTGTAGCTGAGAGCCGGACCCTTTGACGAATGCCAGATAGCCACCATGCTGAAGGAGATTTTGAAAGGTTTGGACTACCTGCACTGTGAGAAGAAAATCCACAGGGACATAAAAGGTGTGTACGCAGAGGAATATTTGTGTCTGCTTGGATGAGTGGGTGTGACGTCTTTGTTTTTCCACTGCCGTTTGTTTTTCCACTTGTTTGAACTATGCAGGGTGAGGTAGATTCCGGACGGCTGGTCTGCAAATAGCTGCACTGATTGATGTTGTGTCTTCAGTAGTTTTATTATTGTTATTATTATTGTAATTTTGAAAGGACTGGAGCTCAACCTTAAACTTGTGATTTGATAAAGGATTTTACATCTTAACCTCGAGTTGAGGGTTTGAACATTTGAAAATGACGAATTTAAGACAAAGCTGAATTTTCAGCATCATTTCTTCAGTCTTCAGTGTCACAGGATGCTTCAGAAATCGCTCTAAAATGCTGATTTAATTTCAGTGCTGGAAACAGTTGTGCTGTTTAATATTTTTTGGAACCTGTGATGCTTTTTTCAGGATTCTTTGATGAATAAAAAGTTAAAAAGAACAGCATTTATTCAAAATAGAAATCTTTTCTAGCAATATAAGTCTTGACTAGTACTTTTTTTTTTGTTTCAATTTAAGTCTGTGCTGAAAAAAAAGAGAGAATTTGCTGACCTCAAACTTTTAAATGGTAATGTATGTTGTTACAGAAGGTTTCTATTTTAAAAACACTGTAAAAAGCATCACAGGCTCCAAAAAAATATTGCAACTGTTTCCAACATTGATAATAAATCAGCCTATTATTATTCAAAATAGAAATCTTTTCTAGCAATATAAGTCTTGACTAGTATTTTTTTTTTTGCTTCAATTTAAGTCTGTGCTGAAAAAAAAGAGAGAATTTGCTGACCTCAAACTTTTAAATGGTAATGTATGTTGTTACAGAAGGTTTCTATTTTAAAAACCCTGAAAAAAGCATCATAGGCTCCAAAAAAATATTGCAACAGTTTCCAACATTGATAATAAATCAGCCTATTATACTGATTGCTGAAGGATCATGTGACACTGAAGACTGGAGTAATGATGCTGAAAATACAGCTGCGCATCACAGGAATAAATAATATTTTAAAGTATATTAAAATAGAAAACTATTACTTGGAATTGCAATATATTTTACAATTTTGTCTGTATTTTTGATCAAATAAATGCAGCCTTGATGAGCTTGAAATCACTTTTTAAAAAAAACATTAAAAATCTTACTGATCCCAAACTTGAACGGCAGTGTATATTTTATTGTAGTGTAATTTGTAGTGTTAGTAGTTTTTTTAAAGAATAAAGACTGTAGAGTTGAATACCCTTAAAAGTAAGGCTGCAGGATAATGGTATATCAATTATTTTGCTCAAATATATATTCATGATTATTAAACATGATTATTTTTTCTCATGGTTTGCTTGCAGATTTATTTGCAGCAAACAGCACAAATAGCCATGTGAAAGAAAACACTCATGAATAAATAATATTTTAAAGTATATTAAAATAGAAAACTATTACTTGGAATTGCAATATATTTTACAATTTTTTCTGTATTTTTGATCAAATAAATGCAGCCTTGATGAGCTTGAAGTCACTTAAAAAAAACATTAAAAATCTTACTGATCCCAAACTTGAACGGCAGTGTATATTTTATTGTAGTGTAATTTGTAGTGTTAGTTTTTTTAAAGAATGTTGAGTTGAATACCCTTAAAAGTAAGGCTGCAGGATAATGGTATATCACAATTATTTTGTTCAAATATATATTCATGATTATTAAACATGATTATTTTTGCTCATGGTTTGCTTGCAGATTTGTTTGCAGCAAACAGCACAAATAGCCATGTGAAAGAAAACACCGTCTTTATTACACTTTCATTTGAGCTGAATATCTTAATAGAGATCGACAAACTCCAGCTTACATGTTTGCCAGTATTTTCAGCTCATCAGTGCTTTCTCAGTAATGTAAAGAGAGCTTGTGCGCGTGGTTGCCATGTTAGGAAAATTAAGTAAACCAGTGGTCAGAAAATGTATTCATTTATGAAAGTATCCATTAAAATTTGGGGGACTTGACATCTAGCAACTGCAACTATGGAAGTTTGTGGAGGCTTGTTACCAATGCAGGATAACGCAAATGGCGAATGAAAATGAAGCATTTTCAGGATATTAAAACAGCAAATATCGCAAACGATTATGCTTAATAAATTGAGAGAAGCAGTTACTATGATCACAAAATGATTCATCTGTAGCCCTATTTCTATTAGCCGCAATTCTGTTGTTTGTCTGAACTGTAGCAATGTGAGACATTTTCATTTTAAATAAAATTCAAATTGCAATATCAAAATAATCACAATATAATTTTATGCCCAAGACATGCAGCCCTATATGTGTCAATAATAATTAGAAATGATTAACAATCAAAATAAAACGCTTACTAAAAAAAGGTTAGATGTAAAATGTGACCAACATCAGTGAGTCATGGCCATGTGAATGTGTGAAAAAAGACTTGCTTACAAACAGAATGATTCAAAGGCGTGTGTTTATGTACTGCGGCGGATGATTGCAGTCAAAAGGAGCCCAAAACAACGCAACATGTTGCAAAGGTGTTGAAATGATCTCCTTGACTACATGGTCTCTCCTGTTCCTACTGTGAAAACATTTAATACATCGTGAAGTGGAAAAATTCATCAGTTTTTGTTTAGAGGCTTGTTACCAATGCAGGATAACGCAAATGGCGAATGAAAATGAAGCATTTTCAGGATATTAAAACAGCAAATATCGCAAACGATTATGCTTAATAAATTGAGAGAAGCAGTTACTATGATCACAAAATGATTCATCTGTAGCCCTATTTCTATTAGCCGCAATTCTGTTGTTTGTCTGAACTGTAGCAATGTGAGACATTTTCATTTTAAATAAAATTCAAATTGCAATATCAAAATAATCACAATATAATTTTATGCCCAAGACATGCAGCCCTATATGTGTCAATAATAATTAGAAATGATTAACAATCAAAATAAAACGCTTACTAAAAAAAGGTTAGATGTAAAATGTGACCAACATCAGTGAGTCATGGCCATGTGAATGTGTGAAAAAAGACTTGCTTACAAACAGAATGATTCAAAGGCGTGTGTTTATGTACTGCGGCGGATGATTGCAGTCAAAAGGAGCCCAAAACAACGTAACATGTTGCAAAGGTGTTGAAATGATCTCCTTGACTACATGGTCTCTCCTGTTCCTACTGTGAAAACATTTAATACATCGTGAAGTGGAAAAATTCATCAGTTTTTGTTTATTTGAGTAATAGTAAAAGCTGCCATGTCTGTTGGTCTCCATTGTGTCTTGTTTTTACACTGTTACAGCTGCCAACGTGTTGTTGTCTGAGTCTGGTGAGGTGAAGCTGGCAGACTTCGGTGTGGCGGGACAGCTGACAGACACACAGATCAAAAGAGAGACGTTTGTAGGTACACCGTTCTGGATGGCTCCGGAGGTCATCCAGCAGTCTGCCTATGACTCAAAGGTAAGTCCCTCTTGAAAGTCCTCTACTTGGGTGTTTTTACGCTCGTGCTCAATGTCTTCTGAGCTTTTAGCGCTACTGCATCAACCTTTTGGGTAACAGCAGTTACTCTGGCCATGTGATGTAATGCTCAAATCTTATTGGACGGCCCATGTTTTCGCTTTGCGAAACTGAAAGGAATTGTCAGACTGGTTCGAAAAAACATTTGCATTTTCGGTGCGCGAATGTTCGCGTGTGGAAGCATCCATAGGAATCTGTTGTTTTATTCCAGCGCGTCCGATATTCGTTTAGCTTTATCGTGCTCGGAGTAGACAGGCCTTTAAACACTTAATACGCAAACTGTCTCTCATCATGAACAAATGCCACAGCAGCTGCCATTGCACTAAAAAGAAAAGGAAAAAACACAAACAAACCGGCATATTCACCTGAATTACAATCTCACATGAGTCCATGAAGTCGTGAATGCTTATATTTGCCAATAATTTACGCTTCAGTGGAATGATATCGTGCTTTGTGGGGTTGAGCAAATGTTTTGTAGATATTCATTGAAATCATAATTGTATTGGGTTTCATGATGTATTATCACCACAAATCATTAAATGTTTTATGTATATGCTTATACAGTAAGGAGTTTGTCATTAGGAATTCATAATATTTGTTGTCACAAAAACATTAACACTGACAGTTAAAACGCCATCAGAGAAAATAGGGATAGTTGACTCAAAAATGAAAATTGTCATCATGTCCGTACCCTCAAGTTGTTCTAAACCGTATGATTTTCTTTATTCTGTTCAACATAAGAAGATATTTTGAGGAATTTTGGTAACCAAACTATTTCTGGTCCCCGTTGACTTCCATGGCATTGTTTTTTTTCCATACTATGGAAGTCAATGGTTACCGTCAACTGTTTGTTGACTAACATTCTTCAAAATATATTTTATGTTCAACAGAGGAAAGAAACGTATACAGGTTTGGAACAACCTGTATCACAGGATAAAAATTTTGGGGTGAATTATCCCTTTAAAGGCACAATATGTAGTTTTTCGCCGCTAGAGGGTGCATATTCAAACTAAACAAAGAGGCAAAGGCCTAGTTTGATGACCCTGTGACTGAGTGTGGGATCATGGGAGTTCCCCACAGCCGATGCAATCCGACGGGACTCGGGCAGAAATCATGTTCATGGATGAGCTAATGATTTATTAACGTAGTAGAATGAAGCAGGGTGTGACAAAGCCGTCGAAGCGAAACGAGGCGCTGAACGAGCGCGACACACGGCTCGAAAGCAGC